ATATCTATCAATTATTATCTATCTTTAACATCTGCCTATCATCTATCTACCTAACATCTGCTTATCTATTTTTCTATTTATATATCTATCCATCTATTTATCATCTCTCTATCAGCTGTTAATCAGTTAATCTGTCAGTATTGTCTGTCTGTCTGTCTGTCTGTCTGTCTGTCTATTTGTTGAGAGAGAGAGGGAGAGAGAGAATAAGAATTTGGGGGAGTTGATTTTGTCCATTCATGTGGCTTTCTGAATTGAACTCAGGTTGTCAGGCTTAGTAGCAAGTCTCCTCACATTTTAAGCTATCTCACTGGCTTCAAAAGATTTTTAGCATAAATAATTTTAGCACAAATTTCCAGAAAGGATAACTACAAAGTAGGAATTCCCTGTCACAGTCTTAGAGGTTAATGACTTTTTCAGCACATATCTTCATATAAATTAGTGCCTATGCCCTTAGGTACCTGACAAAAGGAATATATTATGCCTAATTGTTGATATCATGGTAGTTTCCATATAAAGAGGTTGATAATAAGTGATTACCAAGGAACATCAAGATAATTTTGGCTCTGGGTCTCTAATTCTCTTCATCTCTACAATCCTAGAAATTAATGAATCCACAGATTCTTTACTGTAGGAGTCAATGGCAGAGAACTCTAGAGAGCTGGACTTAGACCATTCCATTTTAATTTTGAGACAAAACCTTACTATATAGCCTTGGCTGGTTTTGAAGTCACAACATAGACCAAGCTGGCCTTGAACTCACAGATAGCCACTTGCCTCTGCCACCTAAGTGCTAGGAGTAAAGATTTGTGTCACCACATGCCCAGGGATGTTTCTCTTTTAAAGACTGTATTTCAGGAATGTGCATTTGGAGGATCATATACCATAGACACCTATGCTTCTAACAGCGTCAATAGGAATATAACATGGTAGAATTTCTCCAGACCTATGGTAGGGTTAGGACTGGGGATGAACCCTTCTCTAGCATATATAAGACCCCAGGAAGCCCATCTTCTTCCCTGCCCCTCCTCCCTACCAAAAATCCAGTGATGATTTTTGGATGAGGGGTGTGCAGTGTGCTATGCGCTAGAAGCTGGATGCATGTTGCCTCAGTTTATCTTATTCCCTTTTGTTCTCCACGTGACTGCTAGAGGTATAATTTTCTCAGTATACCTCTGGATAAACTTTTAGGGGTTTCAATACAGTTGTAGATTGAACTGTCTGATTTCCTTCTATGGCATCAGAAACCTTTTATGTTAAGTTATTTCTGCCTGACTCGTCCATACGTTTCATAGCTGTTATTCAGAAATGTTTTTGAGCCTCGACAATACCATGTTTATTCATGCGTATGTTACTTTTCCTTTTCCTGTTTGCAATCTCAGTTTCCATGCACTGCTTTTCTTTTCTTCTCAACAAGAAGATACAAGGCTCAGGGAAAGGCTTCAGCAAGTATTTCAGTTGGAATGGAAGAGGAGGTCATTAGAAAAGGATAATGCGTTCCCCTAGATGTGTGGTTGGACATCTTGAAAGAAATAATTTTCCTGTTTGGTGTACCTTCCCTTCTTTAGGTGTACTTTAGTGAGTGGAGTCTGGTTTTTGGTCCCTTTAGAATTTTGATCATTATTTTATCACCTGTATCACATGGATTATTCTGTTTTATTCATCAGCCTAGAGTTTTTGTTATTATTATTATTTATTATTATTATTGGTATTATTATTACTATTATTATCTCTTGTCCCCTACACTTTGTTGTCACTTCACTAGTCCCTAATACTTTTGAGCTAGAAATCCCCTTTACAAAGATGATTGTAAGAATGTGCTAGAGAAGATTTATAAATGTGCTTGTCATGTGTTAGATAGGACTGTGGTACCTCTTGGATGAGAACTTATTGTAAAGTAGAAATTGAAGATTTGTCTTCAAGAATTTTTCTTTTTTTTTTTCATTCTTTCTTATTTATTTGTTTGTTTATTTATGCTCCAGGTTTTATCCCCCACTCATCCCCCACCCCCAGTCACCCTCTGACTGTTCCACATCCCATACCTTCAACCCATACCCCCTGTCTCTAAGAGACTTTCCCCCCTTCCCCCACCCCACCTGACCTCTAAACTCCCTGGGGCTCCCAATCTCTTGAGGGTGAGGTGCATCATCTCTGATTGATCACAGACCTGCAGTCCTCTGCTGTATATGTGTTGGGGGCCTCCTATCAGCTGATGTATCACCTTTTTGGTAGTCCAGTGTCTGAGAGATCTCGGGGTCCAGATTAATTGAGACTACTGGTCCTCCTACAGGGTCGCTCTCTTCCTCAGCTTCTTTCAGCTTTTCCCTAATTCAACCACAGGGGTCAACAGCTTCTGTCTATTGGGTGCAAATATCTGCATCTGACTCTTCCAGCTGCTTGTTTGGTATTCTGGAGGACAATCATGATAGGTCCCTTTTTGTGAGCCCTTCACAGCCCCAGTAATAGTGTCAGGCCTTGGGACCTCCTGTTGAGCTGGATCCCACTTTGGGCCTGTCTCTGGACCTTCTTTTCTTCAGGTTCCTCTTCATTTCCATCCCTGCAGTTCTTTCACACAGGAACAAATATGGGTCAGAGTTTTGACTATGGAATGGCAACCCTCTCCCTCATTTGACGCCCTGTCTTACTGCTGAGGTAGGCTCTATAATTTCCTTCTCCCTACTGTCCAGCATTTGATCTAAGTTCCTTCCCATCGAGTCCTGAGAGTCTCTCACCTCCAAGGTCTCTGGTGCATTCTAGAGGTTCCCCTCACCTCCTACCTCCCTAGGTTGCCTGTTTCCATTCTTTCTGCTGGTCCTCAGGGCTTCAGTCCTTTCCTCTACATACATACAATCCACCCAATACCAAATCAGATTCCCCTCTCCATCCCACCCTTGTCCACTTTCCCTCCCAGGTCCTTCCTCCCTTTTCACTTGTGATTGTCTCCTTCTCCCTCCAGAGTGGGACTGAGGTGTCCTTACTTGGACACTTCAGCTTGTTGACCTTTTTAAGTTCTGTGGATTGTATCTTGGGTATTCTGTACCTTTTTTTTTTATCATGCAAGTCAAGCTGATCAGTTTCAAGATCCTTCTGACACATTGCTAATATAGTGGTGACATGCACCGTCAACACACTTACTCCATATGGTTCATATAGCTACTCCTCCTGTTACAGGTAATCAGAATTCTGGTGTCTAGAATTAACCATGTCTATAAAGGGCCACAATCACAGCCATTTGACTCCCAAATGACTCAATATGATTTCCACTGGTAGTTTAAATTTATTTACAGAGGGCCCCAAACCTGGGTAAAGGGTAATGAAGGCCCTGCAGGGGGCGTACACTGCAAGACATATACTGCAAAGCTGTAAGCCTTTTTGGGTTTGTGATAACAAATTGTATTTGTGAAAAATCTTTTCCTTTGTGATGGAAAGATGCATTTCCTAGTACCCTTCTTTTGTAGGTTTGAAATGAATTAAATTGATTTTAAAAGAAATGTACATCATCTTTCATGAAACCCTATGGAACCAAGGTCCTTGTAAGTGTATTTAAAACATGATAATACATGTTCCATCTGTTGGGCTTCAGGTTATAATGAAGGATTTCTCTAGTCATAAGAGAGACTCAAGAGTACCCACAGTCTGTTCTGCTTTTGAGAAAGCTTCTGGGGTTGTTGTTTTCTTTGTTTCTTACAGTTTTGTCTTTGATACAGCTGCTTTCTGTCATTGCTGAGACTGTGTCTTTCACTCATATCCAAAGTGATGAACTTTTGATGAGGAGAGGGGAAAGAATTTAATGGTCTGAAGTTTACCACCTGTTCGCTGTTATTGCTTGCCTTAGAATTTCCCAAGTTTCTCCATACAGATCTCCATGGAAACTAAGCAAATAAGCCACTTGAAAGGAGACAGGTTATTGGTTTTTCTCACTGAAGCCACTACTGGATTTTCATTAGTTGTAATCTATTTTCTTTTAAGATGAGACATACAGGCCACTTCTTATTTTCCCGATGTGAATACTCTGAATAACTTCACTGTGGATCCTTTACAGATGGGCTAAGAAGCAAAAGTAATCATTTTCCTTCCGCTGTAGAGTCACATCTGAAAGTACAGACGAGGGTAAAGATGACTGATGTCAAAGGGGAAAGGCTTACTTTATGCGCTTAAAAAGTCAGGTCATTAAGCAAAGGAAGGTCTGGTGATGTAGCATGCTAATGTGACCCAGTCTGTGCTTCAGGTTCTCTCACTTTAAAATTGTATTCAGTTGAAAGTAATCTAAATAATGTACAGAAAAGCCTGCTCCAGACTGCAAGTACTATTTACACCCTGGTATGCATTATGTGATTTATTCACTGTATGAGACATCCTAGACACCTTTATTCTTGTTTGTTTTTTAATCTTCCCACATGTGTATGTGTGGGCGTGTGTGTGTGTGTGTGTGTGTGTGTGCGCACGTACATACGTATGTGGATATTATCCGAGATGGGATTTCTCTCTGAAGCCTTGTTCTTTAGACCAGGGTGGTTTTGAACTCAGAGAGATTCGCCTGCCTCTGCCTCCCGTGTGCTGGGATTAAAGGTGTGTACACTACTACTGCCAAGCTCATGGACATCTTTTAATTCAAGAGACTGATAAGGCATATGAACTTCAAAGTTTGAACTTGGCATTGGAAGGAAAGTTTCCTCGATTCATATCTTTTTTCCAGGAATACTGACAACAGTTTTTAGATAGGAGATGTATAAGCTGAAGGAAAGCTTCATCACATATATCTTTTTGAAAATAATTCAAAACTTCAGCTCCCCTTCTGGGGCTCTGACAAGTGGAATATACTGAGGTTTCTATTTGTATTGAATTTCTAAAAGGAGTAGAGTCCAACAGGGCTGCCATCAACAATTAAAATCAACAAGGTCACGATAGGTGCTTATTTCCCCCTAGCTCTTGCTGCTCGGTGCTTTTCTCACATGGACAAAGAGTGTGCAGACCATCACCATGTCCTGTGTTTCCCTTTCTAGGTGGCTGTACTTTTGATGATGGGCCAGGGGCCTGCGACTATCACCAGGATTTATATGATGACTTTGAGTGGGTCCATGTCAGTGCGCAGGAACCCCACTACCTGCCTCCTGAAATGCCTCAAGGTAAGACACAGACTTCTAATTCCCTGTCTGGGGAATATTTCAGAAAAACAAAATTTCTTCACTTCATATATAACAATAGAAATTTGTTATATTAAGTTTACTTACTGGTCGATTTGCTCACATGTAAAGATCCTAAAATTTTCTTTACCTCTCCCTTAACAATACTCTGTAACCTCCTATATTCTTCAAGATTTCTTCATACTACTGCCTGTGCTTTGCAAAAGATGTAACTTTGTAAACATTATGTTTCTTGTCCCTTCATAAAAAGTCAAAATGACCAAGTAAAACTAGAAAAGAGGAAAAAGAAAAAAGCCATGAATAAACAAATTTATAGGAAAATATATTAACCATGACATGTATTCATTTGAATATCTTTGATCATATTTCACAGGTGTGATCTAGTTAGACTCTAGGCGAGCGCTAGTCTATGGTCAGGAGATAAATGGTCTCATTCTCCCACACAACATGAGTGACAAAATTATCAAGCAGAGATGCTTTCTGTGTAAATTTTGTAGAAATGTTGCCAGGACCTGTTTCTTATTGACCTAGAACTTGTAGGTATTGACTTTTGATTTCGTGAGGTAGTATATTTTCTGATTGCTTAAGACACATCATGAATTTTTTTGTGATTTGTGAGAAGCACAGCAAAATAGCATATCAATATATACTTTCCACTTACTACAATATGGGTCTAGTGTTTTTTTTCAGTTATACATATTAATTTTGAACTAACTCTCACTAAATTATATGTTTAGTAATAATTTGAATAATTATAAGAATCAGAAACATAAACACAAAATTTAAACCATGGTACCTAGGAGAACAAGTGTTATTTAGAAAGAAGCAAATGATTATATATAAAATTATGTATATGTAAAAGATAATATCCTTTCTTTATGCCTTAAATCATATAGTTGATGTTAATATTCTATAAATAATTTCTTTTGAAGTATAATTCATTTTTTATTATAATTACATAACTACAGCTAAAATTGAATTTTTTTACAAATTCAGCATGTCCTTCATAATTGACTGTGAGTTTTAGACATCACCATTGGAAGTGCAAATATCAATTACGGTGATTGATTAAGAAACCTTGCTAGTTAACATGCTTCATAAACACAAGAGGAAAAAACTGATGATGATCAGTGGAATATGACAAGCTCTCAAAGCAAATAAAATAGAACACAGACGACAGATATTCAGATGAGGGTATAAATGAATTCAGAGAGTATGTTTTGTGGAATTTTTTTTGCATTGTTCTACTCTAAGGTACATGCTGGGATTAAGCCTTTTATTTATTCTGAATTGTAGCTTGCCCTGTCTGAGTAGGCAAATGGTAATTTTGAGGCTACGCTAAGGCATCGTTTTCTTTGTGGAGGAATACATCTGTGGGTAGTGTTTACTTGACACCCTTGGTTTCTTATGCTTGACCCTGACACTTTGGGCAGACTTACCTCATTTTGTGCACTGGTTTGTAATCTTCTTTCAAAGGTACATACAATATTATTCTGGCTCCTTCTGATTAAAGAAATCTCTGTATGTTTTTCACTTCTATTCTCAGTGGTATATTTAGACTTAATTTTTCATGTAATATTAAAAAGGTGGGCTGGAATGCACACATTTTGACTATCATCAGAGAATAATCAGAAAGAAGTTGATTTATGGAAATGTTGCCGCTACTAATTGCTATTGACGGTGGGTAATGAGAGTTGAAGAGAATGTTCAGATGACCTTGTGGTTCACCTTTTACACAATTACTTAATCATCGGTTACAGTAAAGGAGGCTATGCACAGAAACTGAAAGTGTTTGATATTCAGCCATATCCTCCAATTAATAACACATTAAATAATTAATCATGCAAAGAAGGGAAAAGGTCATGGACAAATTATTTTTATTTATTTATTTTTTTTTTTGCAGGATGTAACTATGTTTAGTCTAAGGAAAAGTGAGAGAAGTACCCGTGTGTATTCGTGTTTTAATCACTAGTTTTGTATGCATGTGAGTGTACACATGGGTTCACATGCACATGTGTGTTTGCACATGTGGGGCAAGAGGACAAACGTGGGTTGCTGTTCTTAGGAATCTTCCATCTTGTTTTTTGAGACAGCATTATAAGATAGCCTGGAGTTTGCAGCGTGGGCTTATCTGGCTGGCCAACATGTATCCTCCTGTCTCACCCTTTGATTATAAGTTTTCAAGCTTTGGTGTGAGCACTAGAAGGAAGGTTCTCATACCTGAATGATGAGTTCTTTACTAACTGAGGTATCTCTTCTAGCCCTGTTCAGTTTCTTTTTACAAGATATTTTTCTCCTATTCTCCTTCTAATATTCTTTTAAAGAGCCCATTGAGCTTTATTCTGCCCATATATTGGCAAAGAGGACATAATTAGACTCACTAGATTTTCATGATCTATCCTGAGGACTTGGCTTCTGTTAAGTGCAGGGGGTGGGGGTGGGAAAGCTGAAGGCCTGCTTGCATTTGCACGGGCATAGAGCGTGTGTGGGTGGGTCCCCTTCCAAGCAGTACCAGGTGGGCACTGGGCCATGAGAGGCTGCCGGGGCGTCCCAGGTGGGGAATGAACACAACCTGATTTTGAGGGGGCGTAGAGTCCTCCAGTGGGGATCCCCGGGCCTGGAGGCAGCCAGGAACAGATTGGCCTCAATCCTGGGGTGGGGGTGGGGGTGGGGGTGTCCCAGATGCTGCTGGGACTGCAGAAAAACTGAGGTAGGAAGTGGAAGTGCGAGGCAGGTGAGACTGGCCTGGGAGCTGCGAGAGATATGAGGGGGAAAGAGAGAGCTCTAATGGCTGCTTGTTTAAAGATGCGCCCCGCAACAAAAAATGCAGAGAAGTCCTCCATGATGACAGCACCACGATGGCAGGGCCCCAGTAACACGAGAGTCTGGGGTTCCAAGGGCTTTATTGACATGGTGTGTGATAGATAGCCTGGATGTGCACCCCCAGTTTAGGTCAGGGCGGGCCTGATTTAAATAGGGAGGGGGAAGGGGGGTAACTTAATTAGCTACACCCTCTGGCCTTTAAGGTATCTCATTAATATGGAAATCTCTTGAGGCTGAAGCCTGTAGTCATGCCCTCTACCTGTAGCCCTAAGTGCCTGCAAGGCGCAGATCAAATGGAGATCTTAGACGGAGTGTCAGGTGTCTGGAAATCGGGCATGGCAAGATATGTGCCATCCCTACACAGGCAATGGACACCTGTTGGGTCTCTGGCTATCTCTAAGCCAGTGCTCTACCGGAAACCAAATCATCCTTTCACGGTCCTACAGTTAAGAACACTTGTTCTTTTAGAAGACCAAGGTTCCATCCTCAACACCCATAGCTCTCAATTTTCTATCATTCGAGTTCCAGGGTATCTGCCTGTGAGGGTAATGCACACATTACCTCTCTGACCTCTTCTGACCTCTTCTGGGCACCAGACATGCACATGCTACATACATATATATGTATGTACAATACTCATATACATAAAGTAGAATAAATAAATGTATTTTCAAAATTTCAAATGACCCATCTCTTCTTTGTTCATACAAATAGTTAGGCCTGCTTACTTTATTTACTGGAAAAAAAAAAGAGAGAAACAAAACCACCACATCATCCCATGCCTTCTGTCATAGGAAGTCTGTCTGTCTGAAGTAGACATGGTACTGAACCTTTTGCAGTACTTGGGCATTGTTAATTATTGATATTTCATTGACCATTAGAGGGTTTAAAAACCCAGAAATTGTGAATACACAGTTTTGAATACTAAGGGAGGAATATAGAAATTAAGGAAATAATGTCTCGTGACAAATACACTGCTGTTAGTGACTGCTTTCCACATTCTAGAGCAGTTCTCAGCTTGTTAGATGACAGTGATGATGACAAGAAGAACCATTAAATGTTTGAAAGTAGCTTTCAGAAGAACAAACGCTTCAGGAATGAGCCCTGTAGCAAAGTCATATGAAAATAGGAGAAGCCACTCATCAGTGGAAGGCAAAGTAAAGACATAATGAGTTCAACTGCACCATAGTGACTTCAGTTGTTGCTGAGAAGAATGGAGAACAAGAGGAAGCATCTCAGGCATCTGCCCCTTTGTACAGCCTAATGGGCAGCTAATCCATTCTTGGATATAGGCCCAGAAAGCCAGAGCCATGAGTTCATTCAAAGAATGTACAAATGTATGTAGCATCAGTGTTCTTCATAATTCCAAGGTGTAAGCAGCCTGAATCTCTGATAGTAGTACAGTGTACAACGCTTGGGAGTGTCCACATAGTGAAATGGATATCATGCCACAATGTGAATGAATTGGCTCACGCTACGGGCAGCAATATTGATGAATTTCAAAACCATCATCAGGGAGTGAAATCAGACACAAGAGTGTTTTGTTTGATGTCCATACATTTCAAAATGAGGCACACTGATTGCTGAGTTAGAAGTCTGTTAGTGTGTGAACTTGTGGGAGGGCTTATACTTCAGTGTATAAGCAGGGCTGCCCCTGACATCTCCTTCCTTCTCTAAGTATAGAAGGGCTGTGGAAATTCTAAACTTGCGAAGGCGGGGATAGAGGCCTGACCTCCAGTATTTGAAGGGGACCTTGTAATGGCTCCGGTTCCCCTGTTGTTGTCCAGTGAGTCATGAGGGCCATACCCATCACAATGTCTTTTTCCTGGAGAGGGGATACTTTTGACATCAACCCCTATGCAGTCAGGCTTGTCCCTCAGGGAACCCAGAGAGAGATTTTTAACTTTTATTTATATTCCCTTGCAGTGCTTAGCCTCGGAGCCTAAGCAAGAATTCAGATCGCCTGTCAGAGGGGGTACTGGGTGGCCCCTCCCTGCTTGGTCTAGGGGCGGAAGTCCCCTCTTTTAGGTTGGGTGGAGATGGGTTTTGGGAACACCCTGTATAAAGTAACAACCTCATCTTGAGTCTCATGGTCCTCCATAGCTATTAGATATTGTATCTGAATAGGTTTTGCTTAGGTAATAGTTATAATGTTGTAG